CGCCCCGGGCCGTTACCCCCGCCCCTCACCGCGCTCAGTCAATTTTCTTCTTCGAAGGTTCCCCCCACCGCCCACCGCCCACCGCCCTCAGCCGCTGACACCCGCCCTTCGATTGCTCAGGATTCTTCCGCCCTGTTTTCACCTCTCGGTGTTGTTGACGATCACTCCGCCGCCCTCCGAGTGATTCTTGTTGAGCGCCATAGTGTCTCTGCCAGGGGTCCCGAGACTCGCAACGCTCTGCGCCTGCGCAGCTCTTCAGCCCGCCTCTAGTGGCGTCGTTTGTATTAAAGCCAGCCAATCACAGCTCCTGAGCGTAGGCTAACCCAATCACCTGATCCCGGATGTCACGTGGTAAGAGTTTACTCTCACTCCCCGCCCCCCCCAAGTTCCGCCTGCATCACAAACAAGCAGAAAACTACAAGTCCTAGCAGGCAACGGTCCCTCAACTTCTGTCTCTATGTTGAGGGAAGAGAGCATTCTGGAACTTGTAGTCTTCTTGACTATAGGCCAGACTTGCGGTTCTATTTGCATAACCAGGAGCGTCTGCACACTTCAGCGCTCCCCACCTCCTCAGAGGGATGGATAAACAGTTTGGCTCTTCGTGCCCGAGGTTACCAGCAGAAGGAATGTGCCTTAAACGTGGTGACATGATGTGTAGAATGTTAAGTCACTTAATGAGACGCTTTCATTCCCCCAACAGACGTTTATGGAGTACCTGGTGCATAGCTCGCCCTTAGACCTGACTAATCACTGCGACTTGCAGATGAGCGCAAGATGCGGTCTCTTCTAGGGTTGACTGGCACAGTGGGCGCGAACTTTTATCACCTCGAAGCCAGACCTGGTGTGAGCCCGTGGGGGGCGGAGGCTGGACTCGGCGCCTTGGCCTACACCCCTACTTTGCACTGTTCTGGGAGACAGGGTACAACTGACGCTTGCACCAGTTGGCCTCGCGATGGCGCTGATTCCATCTCTAGAATGTACTGGCTTTCCAACTAGCCAGCCTTGCGAGGTGCACGCTGCCAGTTGAAAAAGCAAGACCGGGAGAAAAACTGAATGGAACCACAGTGTGAGATGGGCAGCCAGGTAGGACTTTGAAAATAAGACTGACTCATTTCAGCTTGTGACCCAGCACTGGGTGTCTCCACTGCAGCTGTAATTAAACTCCACGTCTGAGGTGTATCTTGCACAGAGGGAAGGAGATTGTGGGAAATACTCAGGCCACGGTAGCATCCCAATGTATCCCTCATCTTAGGGGACCAGAGTTTGATTTTAAGCAGACAGCTTATTTGCTGATACGGGGCTGCCCACCCTTTCCATCCACCAGCATAACTTAACTTCTGAGGGAAATTTCCTTCTTGAAGGACCAAAAGCTGGCATGCTTTGGTAAGGAGATCCTGGCCTTGCAGAACAAGTGTAGTGAATTAAGGATGCTTATGATGAACCTTGGCCCGTGTAGTTAGATTATTGTTTGTATATGCAATTTACGTATCACTTAAAAAAAGAATAAAATCTCCCAGCACTCAGGAGGCAGAGGCAGGTGGACTTCTGTAAGATCCAGTTCAGCTTGGTCTACATAGGAAGTTCCAGGCCAGCTGGGGCTATAGGCAGACCCTGTTTCAAAATGAATGAATGAATGAGAGGAAAGAAATAAATGAAATAAGGAAGGAAGGAAGGAAGGAAGGAAGGAAGGAAGGAAGAGAAAGAAAAAGAAAATGTTAGCAGGACATGGGACCTCACACTTTCACACCTGTAATCTCAGTACTTGGAAGGTTGAGGTAGGGGGATTACCACAAATTCAAGGCCAGTTTGGGCCACATGGTTACAGACCAACCTGGTAGCAGAGTGAGACACGAACTCAAAAAATTAAAAATAGGGGACTGGAGAGAAGGCACAGAGGTTAAGAGCACTGGCTGCTCCTCTAGAGGACCTGGGTTTGGTTCCCAACACCCACATGGTGGCTAATCATTCTTCCCTCCAGTTCCAGGGGCTCTTCTGGCTTTTGAGGGCATTACACACAGAGGTGCACTTATATACATGCAGGCCAAACACACACATAAAAATAAGTTTTAATAGTAGTAATAATATTGTTTTTAAAGATTTATTATATGTGTGAATATTTGCCTGTATATATGTATCTGCACCACGTGCATGCCTGCTGCCCACAGATAGAAAAGAAGGGTATGGGATCCCCCAGAGCTGGAATTACGGATAACGGTGTACTGCCATGTGGGTGCTGGGAAACAAACCTGGGTCCTCTGCAAGAGTAGCAAATGTTCTTTAAATGCTGAGCCACCTCTCCAGCACCATAAAAATAAATCTTTTTCTTTTAAAGTAAAGTTCAGTTATATCTGATGATATAGAAAGATTAAGATCTCAGGACTGGAGAGATGGCTTGTTGGCTAAGAGCAGTGACTGCACCCACATGGCAGCTAACAACCGTCTGTAACTACAGTCCCAGGGGATTTTGATGCCCTCTTCTGACCTCCACCAGCACTGCACCACACGGGTGCACCTACCTACAGGCTAGCATTACACTCATATACGTAAAATAAAAATAATAAATTTTTTGGGGGCTGGAGAGATGGCTCAGTGGTTAAGAGTACAGACTGCTCTTGCAGAGGACGCGGGTTCCATTCCCAGCACCCACATGGCATCTAGGAACCATCCTTAGCTCTAGTTCCTGGGGAATCCGAAGCCCTCTTCTGACATCTGCGGCATTGCACGACAGGGGTGCACTCACATACATACAGACAGTACACTCATACACATAAAAGAAAAATAATAAATAAAATATTAAAAAAACATTAAAGTAATAATAAAAATAAATATTCTTAAAATAAAAACACATAAGGGATTGGAGAGAAGAGGTTAAGAGCACCTGCTGCTCTTGCAGTTCGTTTCCTACAACCCACCATCAGGTGACTCACAACCACCTGTAACTCCAGCTCCTTGGGACCCAGTTCCCTCTTCTGGCCTCTGCAGGCACCTGCACTCATGTGCACCTATCCACCCAGAGACACATACATAAATAAAAATAATTAATCAACAAAGAAAGGTTTACTGACAGGAGGGAGATTGTCAGGCAGACATCTCAGGAACTGAGTTTGTAAGAAGAGACAATATTTGAGAAACACTGAAGCCACCAGTTCTGCCTCTTGACCTGAACATTACAATGGACATAGAAAATTTATGAACATCCTTATTTTGGTCAGTTTCCAACTGCTGGACTTGATAAAAGTCAAAGTATGATTTCCATGAGTGGATGCTGTTTTGGTCTAGCTAGGCCTGTTTCCTGATTTACAAATCTGTTATCCACAGATACAGATATCTATGGATAGAATAACTGTATCTGCTTTCTTTCCTTTTTTTTTTTTTTTTGGTCTTTTTGAGACAGGGTCTCCTTGTAGCCCCAGCAGCCCTGGAACTCACCATGTAGGCCAGGCTGGCCTTGATCTCAGAGATCCACCAACCTCTGCCTCCCAAGTGCTGGGATTAAAGGTGTGGGCCCTCGTACCCAGCCTAAATTACAATTTCTTGGATTACAACTTAAAATATTAGCCAGTTATGGTAGTGCATGGCTATAATCCCAGCACTCAGGAGGCTCAGGCAGAAGGATTGTGAGTTCCAAGCAGCCTGGGTAACATAGGGACATTGTCTCACGAACAAACAAGCATACAACTTTAAATATTAATAATAAACTTCAAAAAGAAGGAAGAAATCCACCCACCCATGGGTATGCAAGAATGACTCTCAAAGGACTATAAGAGGGAAGTTGGGGGCAATTGTCCATCCCCTGCCCAACCACACTACCCCCTAACTCTTTTGCCAAACATGGAATTAAGAGGCAGATCCTGGCTTTGTAGGCCTCAAGCTTATACAACTTTTGAGGCCTTCTTGAAGAAACACAATGCAGTATTCTGAATACACATCCACAAGGCCACACTGGGGCCTCCTGACAGGAAATGTTACAGAGAGGAAGTCTCGGTGTTTGAGAGATAACAGGCTTAATCGCCTAAAAAGTTCAACTTCGTAAGTCTTAGAAAAACAGATGACCATATCATGCATTGCTAGGAGCCCTCCCAGGCCTTGGTTGGGGCTGGTCGTTTCCAGGTCTCAAAGTGAGAAACACCAGTGACAGTTCATTGTTGAACCAAATCAGCAGCAAGAAGGCTCTGGGGTCCAGATCTCAGAAAGCAGCTTCTCCTCTCACCTCCCACTCCCACGATGCTTTTTTTAGTAATGTAGGATCTCCCTTAGCTGTGCTTGTATCTAGGCGATCACTTCCTGAACAGTGTGCTTAGGGGGAACAGATATGCAGGAGATACTAGCCAGGAGAGCGGCTGAGGTGGCTGGGTCCCTGAACGCGTCCCCTCTTGATGTCCAGAAGTTATATCTCTTTGCTCCAGGGAGACAAATATTTGTGAGGAACAGTTGATCATTTCTGGGGCTGAAGAGATGGCTTGGTTGTTAAAAGCACTTGCTGTTCTTGCAGAGGACTCAGATTCTGTTCTCAGCACCCGTATTGGGCTGCTCACAACTGCCTATAACTCTAGCTCCAGGGAGCCAATTCTCTCTTCCAGCCTCTAAGGGCATCTACACAAATGTGTACACACACAATACACACCCTCACACAAAGACACATAATAAAATGAGTCTAATTTTTTTTGATAATTTTTAAAAAATTATATTTATTGGGGCCAGAGAGATGGCTCAGCAGTTAAGAGCACTGGATGCTCTTGCAGGGGACCTGGGTTCAGTTCTCAGACCCACATGGCACCTATGAACCATCCCTAACTTCAGTTCCAGGGGATCTGATGCCCTCTTCTGACCTTCATGGGCATTGCATGACATAGGTGTATTTACATGCAGGCAAAACACTCATACACATAAAGTAAAAATAAATCAAAAGAATTTTAATTACTTTTATGTGTTTATTTCAGTGTGTACATACACACAGCACAGCAGAGGCTAGAGAACATTTTGTGAGAGTCACATCTCCCCATCTCTCCTTCCACCATGTGGGGCTCTGGGTTCAAACTCCTTTACCCTATGAACCATCTCATGGGCCACAGTTGATTATTTCTAGGTATGTTGTGACATTAAAAAGGTTGATAAGTAGTTTACCAAATGGTAGGTTCCAAATTGTTAAAAGAAAAGATTTCTTTTCTTTTCCTTTTCTTTTTTTTGAGACAGGGTCTCCCTGTAGCCATAGCTAGCCTGAAAGTTGAAACTTGCTATAGAGACCAGGCTGGCCTTAATCTCATAGAGATCCACCTGTTACTTCCTCCTGAGTGCTTGGATTAAAGGCATGCGCCACCACACCTGGCTTATTTTTATTATTTTTAATTATGCATGTGTGTGTGTC